ACAGGGACACTTGGATTTCAGCTTTGTGAGTGGTTACACAACCAGTGCAGGGCTCAGTGGAGGGTAAGTATGTTGCAAAGTGAAGGTGCTGCTATTAGAAAAAGTGAACCATAAACGTGTTGTTGTTATGTACGAGTCACTTGCGACTCATAGCGACCCTATGTACAACAGCCCTAAACCCTGCAGTGTCAATCTCACTGTCTCCGACACACCTATCCTGATTACCCCAACCACACTGAATCAATCTACCTCATAGAGGGTCTTCCTATCCTGCGCTGTCCCTCTCCAAGGACTGGTCCCTCCTCACAACATGTCCAAAGTATGTCAGATGAGGCCTCAGAATCCTTGCCTCTAAGGAGCCACCTGGTTTAACCCTTTCTGGGATGAATCTGTTTGTTTTCTTGGCAGTCCATGGTACATTCAATACTCTTCTCCAGCACCACAGCTCAAAGGCATCAATTCTCCTATCCTCCTTAGTCACTGTCCAACTCTCTGTTGCTTGAAACACTTCTCAAAGTTCTGTGGGGTCAGAAATCAGGACTGTATAGTGCAGTCTGCATCTCCTTTAAAGCTGTTCCTAAGGATCACAGCACTGGTTTCAACTCACAGCAACCTATGTATAACAGAATCATTAATCACTCCTTTCTGCACCTTTCCCCCCATTCTTACTATGTTGGAGCCCATTTTTGCTGCCACTGCTGCAGTCCTTCTTGTGGAAGTGCTGCCTCTTTACCTTGTTGCCTCATTTTACCAAGCATGATGTCCTCCTTCAGAGACTGGCTCTCCTGATACACATCAAAAGTAAGACAAAGTCTCATCATCTTCACGTCCTTGTTGTTATTAGGTGCCATTGAGTCCAGTTAAGACTCATAGCAATCCTGTGAATAAAAGATCTGAACCCTGTTCTATCCTGCGCCATCCTCACACTTTCTGACACACAAGACAGTAGTCATGGTGTCAATATACTTGGTTAAGGATCTTCCTCTCCTTCTCCGACTCTCCATTCTTCCCAACATCATATCCTTCTCCAAGGAATAGAATCTCATAGAAACATGTCCAAAGAATGTGAGGCAAAGCCTCATCATCCTTGCCTCCAAAGAGCATTCTGGCTGCATCTTTTCCAAGACACATCTGTTCATTCCATTGGCTGTCCGTGGGATGTTCAATGCTCTTCTCCAACACCACAGCTCAAAGGCATCAATTCTTTTCCTATCATCCTTATTCCTTGTTCAGGTCTTGAATGAATAGCTAGTAATCAGAAAGACTACGGTCTGAATCAGACACACCTTAATCCCCAAACTGACATCACTACTCCTCAATAAATTGGAAAGGTTCCTAACTGCAGATTTTGCCAGTGTAATGCATCTCCTTATTTCCCGACTGCTAGAGCCTAGGGTGTTAATTGTGGATCTAAGCAAGATGAAGCTGTTGCCAGTTTCAATCTCCTCGCCATCCATCATGAAGCAGCTTTAGCTGTTACTAATTGTTCCTCTTGATGGCACCTTCTTCTTCACAGTCTAGTTTCTTCGGTCATTTATTTAGCACAGAGATTGAGTTAAGCATGTTACTGTTGTTGGGTGCTGTTGAATCAGAATAGACCCATACCTGACCCTCCAGTAAGTTTTCAGAGACAGTAAATCATGTGGGTGGGAGGTTATCAATCCTTTTCCCTTGGAGCAGCTGATAGATTTGAATTGCAAGCCTTTGGGATTTCAGCTCAGCCTCACACCAGTAGGCCACCAGAACTCACCTGAATTAAGTACAGGGGAAAGATAAAACCCTGACAGCACACCTTCACTCACTCAGTTACTGCTATGGAGTCAGCTGTAGCTCATAGTGACCCTCCACTGGGTTTCCAACATTGTAAATCTTAAGAAGACTCCTCATATTCTTCCCTCAGCCTTCCTGGTGGAGTCAAACTGCTAGAGATGCCTGGCGTTTTTGTTAGCAGCACAACATGCGGCAAACCTGCTCCAAGGATGCCTTGGTGCACACATTATCTGATGTGAATGGCCACAGTATCCCCTTGTTAATTCTTTGCCATATTTCCATAATTTGTTATGATGCATATGGTCAAATGCCATTTCACAGTCAATAAAAAAACACAGGTAAATATCATTCTGGTGGTTTCTGCATTCAGCCAACTTTTATTTAGTATCAACAGTAATGTTCTTGTTTGAATCTGGCTTTAATTTATGGCAGTTGCCTGCTTAATATCCCTTCAAGGTAATTTTTTTGAATCCTCTTCAGCCTATTTTTGCTTGTCTGAGATGTTAATAACATAGTTGGATAGTTGCCACACTCTTGGATCCCTTGTCCTTGGAATGGGCACACAGATGGATCTTTTCCAGGACATTGGCTAGGGAACTGTCTTCTAAATTTCTTGGTAATATGAGTGAGCACTTACAGGGTTGCATTTATTTTGTTGAAATATCTCAATTGGTATTTAGTCAGTTCCTGGACCCTTGTTTTTTGCCAACATCTTCAGTGCTTTAAGACTAGATTCCTGGGTGTGCACGGTTCCACGTGGGTGTGAGGAGGATATGATCACTACAGTCTTTTCTCCGCCCCCCCCCTTCTTCCCAGCACTTGGCACAGTGATGGGTGTACATGTGTTGCTTTGTAATTGGTTGTAGAAGGAATGAGAAGGTACTCATTTGCTATGGGATTCTAGCAGTTTTCTGAGGCCTGTGTTGTGGGAAAGTGGTTCCAAGAGCAGTTTGTTCTAGAAACAAAGGCATTTCACCAGCCCAGATGAAGTTCTAGGCTAATTTTTAGCTCAAGATTTCCCGCATCACTTAGAATAGTGGTACTATGTTCTTGAAATCCATACAAGGTTCCCCCCACTTCCTAATTCTTTCATCTTTGGTCTACATTTCAAAGTTGCTTCTCAAGCCCTCATTTCAATGCCTCCTCTCCAGCCCCAACCCCAGCTGTGGGGACAGACACCTTTTACTTTTCTGAGCATGTTCTCTTGTCTATAAAAATGTGAATCTGATTTTACAGAATTGCTGCAAGGAAGGATTCCACAAGAGAAGGCAACCGGTGCTGTGAGTTGTGCTGCCTCGTTCCTGTTCGCAGTCTGCCTTGTACTGGGTAGGTGATCAAAGGAGGCATCTGTAAGAAGGAACAAGCGGTTTATGGAGAGCATGCAGCACCGTGCTTGAGAAACAGACAGCAACCCACAGACTAGCGTTTGTGATAATCATTTTACAAACCTGGGGATGCCCACTACGGATGCAAATTCCACACTTTCCCATTTAATGGCCCAACCAGACTTGCTAGGGGTCGTTCTACTCTCTACCAAGGCGCCAGGGGACATCCCTTAAACACATCAACCCCAAGAAAATGGACCTCTGCAAGCATTTCTGGGGGGAGTCATGGTTATAACAAAACCAGGAAGGCCCGCATTCCAAAGCAAACAAACTCGCCTGTTCCCCACCCTCCGCAGGGTGTTCAACCCCGTTCTGCTAAAGATAGAGCTCGGGCCCTCCCAGGGAACTTCCTGGCTTTTATTAGTTTGTGATTCCAAACGTAACTTTTCAAAGGCTTCCCCCCACCCCTTTCTTTTGGAAGTGTGGGTGTGAAACTGCTTCCCTAATCACATCTTGTGGGAGGATCTTTGGAACATCTGTATATTATTTGAAACCTTAGCATCCGGTTGGGACGTTTGGGGGCCTCGCGTGGAGAGGTGAAACAGCAGGGGCAAGTTGAACACGTCAAGATGGCTTTCAAACAGAGGCATTAAAGAAAAAAAAAAATTAGGCAAGAAAATACAAATGGCTAATTACCTTGGCTCATTTACGCGGTGAATCCAAAGCGCCCCCGACCTCCCATCCCCAATTCCAGCACCTTCGGAAGGGGGGAAATAGAACGCTATGCGATACCCATCTTCTCACCAAGAGCCCAGGGACAAAACTCGTTCCAGATAAACCTAGTCCTTACATTTCCCCCAGCTGCTTCTACCCGATTGCTAAAGAGGCAGCGGCTCCCGGGTGGCTGCCCAGAATCAGTCCTGCCCTGAGGCTCTGCTTTCCCGGCTGGGGTGAGCGCGCACTTCCTGCGCCCTCCCCGCGGCCTGGCCTGGGTGCGGGGATCTTCCCTCCTCCTGAGCAGCTCTGAGTTGGGAAAACTCCGTCACCGATGCCCAGTGGCACCCGGAAAGGGGGTGAGGGGCTGGGAAGGAAAGGGTTTTTGCAAGCCTAGGATCGATATCCTCTTCTTCCTCCCTCTCCCAGCTGTGGACCCGGCCAATGGCAGCCTGGTGGAGGGGGAGAAAAAAAAAAATCCCAGCCCAGGCCGAGTGCAAAGGCCGCTCGGCTTTGTTTGTGGGCTGGGGAATGCGCTGGCGGGTTGGGGGCTCAGGCAGGGGAAAGGGGAACGCGCCCTGCCCGGGTACTGCCAGGACAGAGAAGCTGCACCCGAGCCCACCTCGCCTTAAAAAGACAATCGGCTGCCCTCTTCTTCCCAGACCCCCAGCCAGGACCCTCCCAGGGGACGTTCCCCACCTCCTCCCCCTCTCCTCCCTGAGCCGCAAGTCCGGGATCCGCAAGCCGCGCGGGCTGGAGAAGACCCCGCCAAACCCCCGCAGTGTCTTTTAAGAGCTCGCGGATTTGGAATCTGGCAGACACCAGACCCTGAATGTAGTCCACCGCTTCCTTTTTCCAGGACCCTGCCAGAACCTCCCCTGTAGCACCAAAGCCAGAGCTCAGCCTGCAGCCCCAGGGCCTCGGGCTTGTGGGACCCCCACCCCCCGCCCCCCGGAGGCGGGAGAGGAGCGCGGCTGCTTTAAGAGCGAGGACGGCTCGCGTCCGCGGGCGGCCCGG